GCTTTAGGATTTATTTGCGTTGTTTAATTGTTATGAAAATAACGTAATTCCAAATTCTCATTAATATGTTTATTTTATATTCCAGTTATGATACTCTATTCTGAAGTAATGAGTATGAGATTTACGCTAGTAGTAAGTCTGCTTAATTGTCATGAAAATAATATCTGAAATGTAAAAAAAAGAATCTTAAAATAGGATTTGTTTTCTTTATGCAAATATATAACGTCTCATTTCTTTCTTTGGATTTGTGTGAAATATGACCTTGAGCTTTTGTGATATTATTTTGGTCCTCCGCATTAACTTTCAAATTGCATGAGATAAAAACATGAATATGGAAATAAGCTGTGTAACGATCGATCTGAAATAAGGGGCAAGGTGTGTGGCTTTAATGCTTCCTCAGCCTTTATAACTAACTGAAGCAGATGTTTATTCAGGATTTTTGATGTAGTCTGTAAGTGTCTGACTACTGTACGTTACTTTTTGCTTATGCAACATCTAAAACTGTATGTCATGCAAATATGTAGAATGTGCAACTAACTAACTAACTAATAGCTACTAAGTAACTAACTGACTCTAGGAGTCAGCATATGTTTAAAACTTTAATTTGATTATATCATATATTTTTATTTCATATGAGTCGCATTTTCTGGCACAAAAGCCCCGTTCATTGATTTCATTTAATCGCTTAATTAGCATGAACTTGAACTGATATTGCTTTAATATCAATGCATATAATTGATCAGAATTATATGCGTTGATGAATCGTTCACAATAAGACCGTGAACATGAATTACATTTATGCATTTAGCAGAATCGGATGCTTTTATCCAGAGCAACTTACAAAAGAGAAATAAAAACTATTTGTCAAAGAGCCAACAATATTTATAATATACAATGCTAAATTGTATTGAAATGTATTTTGCATACAGAAATTGAAGCCTGTTTTACAGCTTTAAGATCTTTTTGCTTTGTTTAATTATCTTGAAAATAATGCAACTCCCAAATTCTCATTAGTATGTCTGTTTTCCATTTTGTTATTTTACATTGACAGTACAGTTATGATGCATTACAGTATTTACTTTTTTTTTGCTTTACTATAGTATGCACTTCACAAATGTGGTGCATGATTGTCATGAAAATAATGCTCCGTGTTAAAAAAACAACTTAATTTTCTCTTTCTGTCAAATGCCTAATTTATATCTTTTGATATACATTTTTTTACATTTATGCATCCAGCAGATGCTTTTATCCAAAGTGACTTACAAACGAGGAACAAAAATAATTAGTCAGAGAGCCAACAACAATGGCAAGTTTATTAGACAACCGGATTAGGAAGCAAGCTAGAATCAGTACAGTATTACGTGACGAGTCGGTTTTGGTTTTCATGTTGAGTTCCAGAGAAATAAAAGAGAGAATCTGTAACTGTCCTCCAGCTCAGGGCGAGGGAGGAACCGCTTTCCAGCGAGTGCAAACTCGTCTGTTATTTTGGTGCGCTGCCATCCGTTAGTTGAGTTACAGATACAGATCTCCCTTCAGTTTCACTGTGTGTGTGTGTGTGTGTGTGAGAGAGTGCTCCTCAGAAGATGTGAGATGTTCTGGAGGCTTGTGAAGATCATTCCTCCGCTGAGGAACAGTGAACGTAAAGCTTCTGGAAACAAACGCTCCTCAAAAGATCCTGAGGATCAGATTTGAGACTCTAAAACATGATTGATGGAGAATCAAGTAAAGCTGAGCTGCTTCAGTGTAGTAAGTGTTCATCTGGAGATATTACTGCACTTATTCTGACGCTTACTTGATCAAAACCAGTCAAGATTTGACTCGAGAAGCTCCAGCTCCAGTTACACTAAAAGAGCTTTGACTGGATAAAACATGCAAGAGATCGAGTGCGACATTTAGAGGCCTGTGTGTATCAAATACAATATAGCAGGCTTTATAGGGTTAAACTGTTGTTCTTGCTCTCAATTGTCTTATTGAAAAAACTACAAATAGCCACAGTGATGAGCAAATGCTTCGGCATGTTAATACTTTAGCAGATTTAGTTTAATGCCTTTAAATCTGAAAACAGGGAGCCTCCATCTGTTAAAAGCCGAGTAAAGGAACATTAGAGGCACGCACATCCGTGTATATAGAGCTATAGAGCCGAACGCGAGCTGAGGTTTGTGTGAAGCTTTAAAGCGTGCCGTTAAACAGACCTCAGGACCACCAGGACCACCAGGACTTTAACACAGACGCTTCATGCGTGTGCATTACAGATCTGAAGTTAGCGCTGTTGCATGTGTATACAGGGACCACAGGACGTATTAACACACGAATAATGTCAAAACATGATTAACAGAGAAAAGATCAGTATTTGAGAAACACAAATAAATAGAGTAAAAAAAAAAGAATTTTTGGAATTAAAATCATGGCATGTCTTCATATTGCTTATATATTTGAATGAGCTTTTTGGCTGCGTGTTAATTTAGCTTGAGCGTCTGTTTAATTTGAAAATTGTGTCATAACAATATTTAATATGTTTTAATAATTTTATTAAAAAAATTACAAATTGTCACAAAACAAGATAAACAAGACATCCAAGTAAAAGATATGTTATT